AGGCTCGTAGTAGGTGCTACCTAGGCTAGTAGTACCATAAAAGTCACCGGGCAGCTGAATTGGCTGTGTCTGCAGGCGATGTTACGCTGAATTAGTGACCGGGGACTCACAGCCTGACGGGACCGGCGGTCCTATACCAACCCACGTGGTATATGTACCACCCCTGTTTCATTGGCCAGTTCAATTCCGTACATTTGACGTGGCCCCGCTGGATGAACAGCCCCGTATCTTGCGGGCCCCGGGCAAATCGTAGTGCGCTTTTTGACAACCGGCCGGACAATGTAGTGGACAGAGGTTTGCTAGGAATCAGCTCAGTTTGGCCGTTAAATTGCGGCAAGAATTGATGCCATCCCTCAAGATCGAGGCGCATTGCCGCCGAAATGCGGATATGATGATGAGGCCGTTTAACGCTCCATTGAGCATCGATCAGGCGACGCAAAAATGTGCGGCCGCCATATACGACCTTGCAAACCCAATTCAGTTTGCCATTTAGTTTATCCAACTCTTTACGAGTAATACTAGATCGCCCCAGCATTGCCGAAATAAGAGCGGAAATTGCCGCCAGCTTTTCGGGACTCAAACGAGCCTGCATGGCCACCGAATTTAACGTGATGCCAAGAAAATCGATTATCTGACAAGGGGCGATACACTTATGGGCTCGCATGTTAACCTTAAATCCCAGTTTCCTAAGTAAAATTCGGAGCGCCCAGAAAACGTACCAAGCCATAGCCTGGCTAGGGCAAATGATAATAAAGTCGTCGACATATACGACGAGAACGCGAAATCCACGCCGAGCCATCATGCAAATAATGGCCCGGCCAACGCGATTAAAGACTTCGCACGTGTTCATCAGTCCGAATTGCAGATAACCGTCAAAATAGAGGTCCTCTAAAGAATCCGTCGGCCAACAGAAGGCTGTTTTGTCCCAGTCATAAGGGTCTATCGAAATGTGACGATAAGCTGCCTCAATATCTACTTTAGCCATATAACAGTTGGGGCTCATAAGCCGAATGGCGTCGTCCACAGATTGGAACGAGAAATTTGACTGCGTTAACTCATCATTTAACGAGCGACCCGTGGGCCGCGAATGGTCGTGGATCACTCGTACGGTAGATTCTGTTTTTGGAACTGCTCCCAGCGCGTGCACATAGCGCGAAGTGACGCAGGGCGGCGGCCGAAATATCCGCTGCGCAATGATATCACGATCCAGAGCGTCTTGAACCATCTGACGCGACTCATATGCCGACTTGTAATTATTACATTTAAAAGGTATCAAAGTCGATTCTGTACCTGACGTCAAACTTAATCCGTGTTCTACTAAACATAGCAAAAATTCCTGGTCCTCATCATTACGAAGTTCCGTTTGCCACGCTTCAAGATTGAGCGGCCTTAAGCTACGCAAAGATTCGATCCACTCCACCCGCTCGGGAGGGAAGGCCCGTCAGCGCCCCGGGCACCGATTATCCTGCGTGGTCCGGGTTGTTGTTGGCGGCCGGGCCGTCGGCACGGCGGTTGGGATTGTTGGGGCAGGCTCCAGGGGCATGTACCCGGGTGTCGCCGCAGGGGCAGGGTTTGTGGCCTTTGACGTATAGGCAGGCCGCGCCGTTGGCGCAAGCCCCGGTGTTGAACCACGTGAAGCACCGGTCGTAGCGAGGGCCCCGTGGGCCACGTGCAGTACCCGCCGAGCGCCTTGTACCGGTCCCTGTCTCAAGAAATGGCTGACCCGGTTTATTCACCCTGGCGGCAGCCATAGCCGCGAAATGCGCCATTCGCATGGGGCACAGAATGTCAAACGGTGCCCCGGTTGTCCACTGCTGTAGGCGGTGAGTTGTGTCGAACTCAATAAAGGTCTCAAACGGCCAACCATTGCCCCCACATTTGGGGTCTAAGAGGAGGGTCATGCACGACTCAATATACCGGTCATAATCGGGCCCCTGAATTGCGCCAATATGTAACAGAGCCAATTTAATGCGCTCAGAAGCCTTCACATACGCAGGGATATCAGGGCATTTGATCTTTTTAGCAGAAACGCCGGACATATCCGGCTGGAAGAGACGGAACCAGTGATCTGATCAACCAGAAGCTTATTCGGCGCATTTCTAACCGCATTTGCAGCATTAACCGTCAGAAAATCGTCAACCAGCAACGGCTTAGGTGGCTGGACTGGGACGAAGTGACCGGGGAACGTACTCTGACGAGGCCCCGTGGGCATGGGAGCTGTCACTTGGCTCAGCCGGGCGTAGTCGAAGCCCGTACGTGGGAAGGGGCCCGCCGATGTCGGCGGAGCCGGGGCAGGACCGCCGAAGTAGAAGGCGGCCGGGGGGAGTGCTGTCTGTACGGGGTAGGCCGGGGGAGGTGCAAACGGGGGGGGTGGAATGCCCCCCAGCGTCGCACCAGGAACCTGCGGGGGAAAGTGTGCCGCCGGGGGTGCCACCCCGGGCGGCGCGCCATAGCGCGCCTCCGGGCGAATGAGAACCGGGGGAGCTGTCTGAGGCGGTGCCCCGTGTCCCGGGGCTTGCATGTATTCACGAATGCCCCCCTGGATGGAACTGGTCAGAGTTGCCTGGAGGCGCTGCTCAAGAGCCTGGAGGGGGTCATATCCTGCAATAACTGGGGCCCCCCCATAGGGCTGCGGACCGGGAGCCGTCCCCCCGGTCGTGGGAACAAACATGGTAGGGCCTTCCCCACCATTGGGGGGGAACTGAGGGGGGTTGAATGCGTGGCCATACCTCGCTCCCTGAGGTAAACCAGGAGGGGTGTGAAAAGCCCCTGTCTCTCTGTTATGCTGGAAACCGACCTGCGGCCCTAGCCGCTCGTGAATAGACCGACCCCTCAGCTGCTCAGAGAAACGCATATTCTCATCGTTATCAACCCCATGGTTAAGGATCCTGTGATTAACATCTGTTACCAGCTGAGAAGTGGGAACCACCTGCTGCTCAGGGAGAGAGCCATGGCTACCCTGGCGAACAAAACCCCTGCCATAGAAGGGGTTGGCGCCATTGCGCTCTAGGGAAAGCAAATCATTGCCGCCATTGCGGCTCAAAGGATCAGCTGCGTCATCATGACGCTGAACAAACCCAAGATCTCGGGAACCATTATCGCCAGCATCAGTCACTGTGCCATCATGATTGCCTCCCAAATTGGCCATGGTAGATGGACGTCTCCTTGGAGGATAAGTGGGTCGGCGGCGAGCAGGAGGGCGACGAGGAGGAGACCGGGAGCGTGAC